ACTTTCAGAGCGATTCCACATATGTGTGTGCGCTCACGCGTGTATGCATTTTCACAAAGTGGGGTTTATATTTTCTATCTTCTAGAATTATAAATCTTTCGACGTTGCCAGAGAGGGAAAAACAAGAGATTTATAGACGTTGGTGTAGAATTTTTCCGCATCATTTGGATGTCTCTGTTCGTTTATCGACGTGTTACTTGAGTATGTCTCTACCATAACCTCGTATAAAAACAGGATGGTAATTTTGTTTATATAAAAAAAGAAAAAGATTCCTGTTTTTTATGTTTTGTTTCTTTTACTTTGTTTTGTTTTCGTTCTTTTTTTTTTTTCATATTTATATATATATATATATATATATATATATAGAGAGAGAGAGAGAGAGTGATTTATATATTTATACATATATATATATATATATTTATGTGTAAAGACATTGATGCTTAGTTATTTGGACTGATTTGGGGAAATGAGTCAAACCGGTAACATTTCATCCTCTCTTCGTATTACCTCCGCTGGTCATATTTGTCTTAGTATTTATTTATTTTATCGTTTCATCCTGTGTATTTTTTATTATATTTCCTTCCCATATTTCATAACTTCGCTTCTCTACGTTTGTTTTATTTGTTTCTCTAGTCCCATATCCCACCCTGCTTTTGGTTTTCTTTCACGGTGGTTCTTTTTCTGCAACAATCAAACTTTTCAGCAACGACCTTCACTCCCGCGTATATTATGTTTTTCAGTTAGGTTATGCTATCAGTATGTATAAACATAGTGTTGTTAAATAATATTTTAGCCGATTATTATTGTTTAGAGGAAGTGTATCTTTGCTTCGATTTCCATGGGATCAGATACAAGACATAATAAGGAAGTTGATTTTGATTGGCTGAGCTAAAGTGGGAATGATAGATAGAGAAAAGATGTCGACGTATTCTCTTTCGTGTCTGAAATGACTCCCCGGTGAGGTGGCGACCCCACTGGATGGTTGGCACTTGTCGACATTAATGAAAATAAATATGTTAAAATTCTGTGTTGAAGTCTTCTATTGCCGAACCGAAACGATTGTCGGCCAAGAGAAAAAGCCGAGCTGAGAATATTTACTGGTGTCAATATGCAACAAGGCAAAGATGTGATTTCTCACCGGATTTATTCAACCATTACAATGAGGCGATTCTGAGATAATTACACGTACTACTAGGATGTACTATTGGCGGCTATAATCTTATCAATATAAGATATGCAGATGGATTAGGGTCGATAGCAGACACGGAAAGTAAAATACAGTAACTCCTAAAGTATATGGTAAAAAAGCGAAAGGACGAACCATCAATTGTAAGAAGACAGAATGTATGGTTGTCAGCCAAATGAACAGCCCAAGGAGCGAAATACGAATTGGGGGCATCAAATCAAGCAAGTAAAAAAAATATTAAATATCTATGAATTGTTTTAACAGAGGCCGGAAAATGTGACACCGAAATCCGAAGACGTATTGGCATAGCGAAGATGCCTTTCAACAGTTAAGTAAAGTATGAAGAAACAGGAAAAATTCGATAGAAACAAAGAAAAGAGTACTTGGATGTTATATAATATCGGTTCTCCTGTATAGCAGTGAATACTGGTCAATTTCCTCACCGATGAAGAAGAGACTTGAGGCAAAAGAAATATAGTCTTACAGAAGGATACTAAGAATACTAAGGCCTGAACAACGACGAAGTTTTCAGAAAATGGGAAAATAGGACACTAAAATTAGAATCAGAAAAAGACAATTGAAATTTCTAGAGCACATAATAAGGAAAGAGTGCTTAGAAAATTTAACACTCACAAGACATATTGGAGGCAAGAGGGACAGAGGAAAAACAGCGAATAACCTACCTAATTTGCTTGTGTAAATGGTTGGCAGAACAGAGATTAGAAGAGATACAAAAAAGATGAACATTGCTAAGATCTACAAAAGAGAACCATTATCTCCCACGTCTTGAAGGTACACAGCACAATGAAGAAGTATGCTATCAGTGTTTATATATTGCAGTAATTTATTAAGTTTCTCCGTTTCACTTTTAATATTTCTAATCCCTATCCTTCACGTCCGTTTGTATTCTGACATTATGCAAAGTGTCCCAAAAGTAGCAACAGGATTTTGATATTTAATATGTGTTCAAGGATATTTTAATTGATTTTTTTTTCGGATTTACAAAGTTGAAGGTTTTAAATTTTATTGTGGATAAGTTCACAACTCAACAGCAAAGGAAAATTGTATAATTTTATTTTGTAAATCAACATTCAATTATTTTGAAGCAGAGAACATACCAACGTGAATTCAATGTGAGAAATCCGCCTTCTGAATCAATGATTTGCCGATTGATAGGTCGTTTTCAGCAAACAGGCTCTGTACATGACTTGAGAAGATCTGAGAGACAACGTTCAACTCTCAGCGAATAAAATACTGAACGTATATTGAACAGTACGGAAGAATAAGGACTGACCATTCGAAGATGCTCTTTGCAGATGAATGTGTCTCTAATATCATTATACGGCATTATGTGACAAGATTTATATCAGTATCTCTACAAAGTCCAATTAAAGCAGAAAATAAAAATTATGTATAGCGACTTAATTTAGTTCGACGAATTCAAGTGCTAACGAATGAAAATGGAAATTTTATTAATTATCTGAAGCCTGTGAATACGGGGCCTCAAATGGTGGTCACTTACTTACTGTAATTAATTGAATTAAATTTACATTTAATGATCTTTATTATTAAATAAAGATAAATTAATAACATTGTCTACTTAATGTCACTTTTAAACCCCATCGCTACTTTTGGGACAGACTGTATTTTTCATTCCGTGATTTTGTTCTTCCGTAAATTTTCGACATCTATTGATCTGGGTGTTCATTGCTTCTTTCTGTCAGCTCTACAATTTTCTTTTTGTTTCTTTTATATAGTTTCCGTTGAAAATTGCAGTTCTTCATTTTACACATTTCTTTCTTCCCTTGCTGACATCTCTGCTCATATCGATGAGTTATAGACCTGAAAACCAGACTTTCTTAAAATTCTGTTTTGTTTGATCAGAATGTATATGGCTTCTTTCAGAGAATATCGCTTTCATGTATCATATTTTGGTATTTTTGCTTGTCTCCTCTTTGACAGACGTTCTCTTTGAGAAGAGTTGAAATAGCAATGGTGAACAAGCTCGTTGTCGGCTGCACATTCTTTTTTGGCAAATAAATATGTTCTTCTATTCCATCAAGCCAATATGCTAGAATACGCAAACAGTCGAAGAATAATAACAAGTTAATTGTCAAGTGAAGACCAGTCAATTATGAATAATGGCGTTAATGTTTACATTTTTAAATTCTTTATTTTGTTTTCATTGGTTGCGGATGTCACGTGTATACGTCATGGCGGCTGGGTGTATGTTTAATTATTGAAATATTAGCGTAATTTACGAGTGTATTAAACTTAGGTATATTTGTGTAACTTAATTGTACTAGAATGTTTTCATAACACGCTGATGCGTGTGGAAATCCTCACAGTTTTTGATATTGCTGAAGTTATCGCTAACATTTTTTGTCGAGATTTACAAACTCTACGTTTCGTTCAATTTCGCAAACCAATCAATGAAATTTGAATAAGCTGATTTGTTTGGGAAATACTTTGACAAAAACACTACTTCACAGTTTTTACGCAACCTAGTAAAACCAACTGTACTTTTTACCCTCTTAACTGGTTTGCACTTCCCCCAAAACTTTAGTTTCCATCGGTCAATGTAAGGCTATTTTAGAGGATGTAACGGACGGACTAACGGAAATCCCAGAATTTTATATATAGATAAATGATAAATATGACGAATACCGGAAGTGACTGTATACTGGAAATATTCACTGTTTCCTAGCAATACCATCAATTCTATATTTTTACTTACCAAATATTTGATCTGATTTTTCTTCAAGCTAGTGGTTATAATATTTGTGTTAAGTGGTTATAATCTTTGTGTTATGCTAATAGTTAATTTTCTTTCGAGTTCAATGGATAAAGAGTTTGTTTTTAGAATTAAAAATTTAATATTTTGTTGTTGATTGTACTTGCTGTTTTAGTTGTATGCATTTTGCATGCTTTTCTTCTTATCTCAAAAATAAATAATATGGGCATTTAACGGTGTTATTTATAATATGGGAGTTTAAAGGTGTTATTTTTAATTTTCAATATAATTTTTATCTTCATCAAAATTCATTTAACAAATGAATCAATCATGGACGGATGGGAATGACTTGATTTTCAGACCAATAAATTTTCAGTACGCCCTCGTAAATATTCTAAATAACTTGTTATATATAGAAAAATATATTTGCTTAATGGCTATCATATAACACTATTGATCTCAAAATAATTAATTCCCCATTAACTGGAATTTAATAGATATTAGAGGGGTTTATAAATATGTCTTTGTGTGCGTGTTTGCAAAATTTATTAATGAATTTATATATTTATACTATCTGAACAATTGTCCTCATTTTTTTTTTTTTTGTCATCACAACTTTTAGGCCGTTGTTTTCTCCTCCCTTCCTCAGTTATATATTAATCTGCACAACTTACAGGGAATTCTGAACCGAAGCCTTTATTTAATCTACGTGGGTAGTGTGCTCTTGTTCATCTGCCCAGGTCTAGGCATTTTTCTAATAAGTTTCAACCCAAGCAAGACAGTAAAGCCACTAAGACACAAGGAGTTACTGGGTATGGAAGAATTAGAAAACAGAAACATTACTAAGGTGCGAGAGCAAAGGAAGTGTAATCAAGAGGACAGTTGGTAGAGATTCAATTTGCAGATGAAAGTTGGCTGGAAAGCATGCAGCCGGAAGGGAGTTCCACAAGGAGGAAGTGCGAGTAAAGAAACTGTTAACATAGAACTTACGATTACATCTTAGCCAACTCAACTGTAAATTAAAGAGACATCGTCGCCAGTCTAGTACTGCGCTTAAATTCAAAAGTCTAGGTACCACAGCTTACAGCAATTGGTATTCACAAGTGGTCACCCATCTAGGTACTGACCAGGCTTGATGTTGCTTAACTTCGGGGATCATACGGTGTTTCAACGTGATATGGCCGGAAGCCCAATTTAAATACAAAGACAAATAAGGGAAAAAAAGACTTCAATGACTCATTTCTAAGTAGTAATTAACGTATCCCTACTATTTACAGAGCTTTTAAATAGTTCGACGTTGCTTATCTTCGGTAATCATGCAGGAACATATGCCTCAACGTGATATGGCTGTAAGCTCTTTACATATATATATATATATATATATATATATATATATATATATATATATATATATATATATATATATATATATATATATATATATATATATATATATTTCCTTCTGTCTTTATTCATATTGTCCTTTTTACAGGTATACTTTGTCTTAAATTTTTACACATGTACACCCATGGACAAAATTATGGGGTTGGTGTACAAAAATTAGAAATATGACTGAAACTCGTACATATATTAGATGAAAATACTACAATAAGCAATCTTGAATTGATGTTTCACTTGCATTTATGAGTACCAATAATTATTTGTGTTCATTTTTACTTCTTTAACATAAGTGACAAAATCATTTATTTTAATCTGTAGTGCTAAATCTTTTCTAAAGTTTTAGTATGAATTTGTGCTTCTTCTTTGTTGAAAATGTCTCCGAAGTAAAACATTTCTGAAATTAAAAGGGCTGAAATCATTGCATTGTTCAAAGAAGGTTTATCCAAAGTCAAAATTGCAAGAAAAGTTAAATGCTCAAGAAAGTGTGGAAGTGTATATATATATATATATATATATATATATATATATATATATATATATATATTTTTCTTTAACAACTGCACCCCTGATGATGATCTCAGAAAGAGAGAGAAAATAATTGGGTAATAAAAGTGATTCTCACTGTTACAGGGCGTATCTTGCCTCATTTAATTGTAATATACGGGAAAATATTCGTGAATAGGAAAGGATTATGATCAAAATAAGCAGACATAATGTTTGTAACTTATTCACTCAGGCATGTCTAAAAGAGAATTTGCTGCCTAAATACACAAATGTGTGTGTGTGTGTGTGTGTGTGTGTGTGTGTGTGTGTGTGTGTGTGTGTGTGTGTGTGTGTCAAACATGTTTGATTTTCGAATAAGGTGTTGTGCATTGTGAATAAACTAATATAAGTGCCTGTTTCTGTTATTTTTCATGTACTTTTGATCTCTGCATTTTCAAAACCTAACGTGGTCTTTGAGTGGTAAGCAGAAACTCCTTTGTCTACATCTGTTGTTTTTTATCTTGAAAACCTGAAATTTGTACACATGTTGGTCATCACATTACAAACAACAAAATTACAAAATATTTCATAGAACTCACTGCAAGGAAAGGTTCAAAATTCAAGAAGCCTATATTATAGAAAAGAAACAATCCACGTTAATGAAAACAATTTTCTCCACAAGAGTTGGAGTACTGACGTATTTATAAAATATTCAATATACTTATAAGCATTTGATACATGCTTTTCCGTTTACATATTACATCACTTTGAACTGATACCAATTCCAATTCCAGTTGTCTAAAATACGCCAGTATTTAAAAAGCAATATATATATGTGTGTGTGTGTATGTGTGTGAGAGAGAAAGAGAGAGAGAAAGAGAGAAGAGAGGTGGAGATAACAAGAATCTAAATGAAATCGATGAGAAAATATAGACCCAAAACTCAAAAAAGAAATCTCTCGTTCGTTTTACTCACCAATGTAAATAAATTTAGAGCGATGGTGTCCTAAAAGACGAAACGTGTCACACGAAAACTTTTTTCCACTTTGTCATACATCTTTTCCCCAAAATTTTTCTTGATGTCTAAAAATTTATATATTCCATGAATATATATATATGTGTGTGTGTGTGTGTTTGTGTGTGTGTGAGAGAGAGAGAGAGAGAGAGAGAGAGAGAAAGAGAGAGTGAATGAGAGAGAAAAATTGTGACACACAGGATTGATGCTGAAGAAAGGATGTTCAAATTAGTGAAGCAGAGTAAGATACACTGGGTTTTTTCGGGTTTTTTTTGTTCGTTGTGTGTGTGTGTTCGTGTTCGTGCGTGTGTGTTCTTGTTCGAGTTTGTGTGAGTGTATTTTTGTGCGTGTGTGTGTTTTTGTGTGTGTTTGTGTGTAAACATTCAGATATATCTAAAAGTATATCTGCAAAAAGAAAATATGAATAAAAACAAAAAAATCTTTTATTTACCGACGCGTTTCGTTCTCCGATAGACTTACATTTGCCTTGTTAAAGCCCATCAGAGGACGAAACGCGTCGAAAAAGAAATTTTTTCTTTGTCTTTATTCATATACAGGGTGCGATGAGTAAATTGTCATCATTTTATATTTTCATTTTGCGCATGCGCATTGGTTGTTTTTGATTTTGTAGATTGCACAGTATAGTTGGGTCAGTTGGGCACCGTCTGTGAGGAAAAAAAAGAGCACCATGACGCAATTCATTCCGCCAGAAATTTGGAAAGGCATGCTGTACTGCTTAGCACTCCCACCGGAAGCTTCAATACGTAAATTTCAACGTGTTTTGGTGTCAATCTAAGGACAGTGCAGAAGATTCGGAAAGAATTGGATGACATATCCAGTCAACATCATGGTGTTTCAAATAATCACTAGTGATAGCAACATTATGCCTCCATTCAACTTCTCACAGGGCCTCAGACTCAACACGGATGCCTATATCAAGTGCCTTGAGGAGATAGTGCTCCTCTGGATCAAGGGGGTGGCTGCTTAAAGACCCTATGTGTGGCAACATGAATCCCTACCATCCCATACAAGCAGAAGAACCCAGTTACGGCTGTCTTACAATTTCTTCGACCACATCACCTCTTACATCTGGCCATCTAACTCCCCAGACTGCAACCTCCTTAATTATTATGTGTGGGATACAGTTGAGCAAGAGACCAACAAAATTGTAACACCAAAGATGAACTGAAAGCAAGGATTATAGCAGCATTCACCAAGATAATCAAGGAAAAAACGTCCAGAACAGTTGCAGCATATTCCAAAGTCGTCTGGAGGCCGTGGTTGTAGCTAATGATGATTTTATTCAATAAATTTACTCTATAGTATTTCAAGATATTCTTGTGTAATTTTGGTAAATATATCTGTTAAAATGAGATGTCAGTGTTATCTTCCTTTTTGCATAATTTTGACGACAATTTATCCATCGCACCTCTCTGTGTGTGTGTGTGTATATATATATATATATATATATATATATATATATATATATATATATATATATATATTTTCTTGTATTGCAAAAGTTTATCAGAAAGGATGATTATTTTTTTTTCTTTTTGTCTTTTATTAAAATTATCTTTGAAAACCCGTCTTTTCAAATTCTTTTGAAAGCTAATTGTGTATAAGAGAAGCAAACCCATTTCACGACATTAAGTAGAACTGAAGAAACATACCCGCTAAATGGTGATATCCATGATAATATTTCAAAATGTAATTCTTCACTACTGGAGATAAAAGGATCTGTCATTAGCTTAATTGAAATTAGCTTTTACCAAGACTGCTTCTGATCACGCGCAGAAAAATATACAAGCAAGGATTGAAATGAATTGATACTGAGTTTATTACGAAGACTGGGTGTGAAAACACATCGAACTCGAAAAGTAGATGAAAAGACTCACTACGGAAATACAAGCGGCAAATCTGATATGAAAAAAATGAGCGTCGAGGTTTACGAATCTAGCATTAAGATGAAAAGAACGAAAGAAAATCAGATTCAGTTGTTACGAATAATGACATACTCCGAATAGGTGGCTATCGTTTGGTGATCACTACTTAGCCTGGTCAGTATTTCATATGGTCACAGCCCCAGGAGGTTCGCTTTAATTGAGTATATCAAGGCTCGTGTAAAAAATAAGCATCAAAGAAAGTTTATTCATGGCAGCCTTTGTAAAAGTAAAAGCGTAAAATAAGAAAAATTCCCCTTTCCTCTTTTATTTGTTTGACGTTTTTGCCTAAGGCTAAACGCAAAGTTTTCAAGGAATAAATATTGCAAACGAAGAACAAACGCCAAAAATTAATTAGATTTTTATCCCTTTGTGTATGGGGTTCATGTTGTTACCGGACTTGTTATTCTTTTCAAGCTCTCCACTTTCAAACGATAATATATATATATATATATATATATATATATATATATTTACAAAATCATTATATATATATATATATATATATATATATATATATATAAATAATGATTTTGTAAATATATATATATATAATTGAAGGGATTTATTTTATTTTATCTCTCTCTCTCTCTCTCTCTATCTATCTATCTATCTATATATATATATATATATATATATATATATATATATATATATATATATATATATATATATATATATATATATATATATATATATATATATATATATATATATATATATATATTCAAAGAATCGCCCCAATTATTTATTTATATGAATTAGGTTCTTTCGCTTTTTATGTATTCGCTTGACTACAGATTAACTCTTTATCTCTTGACAACTTCCAAAAAAACAATATATATATATGATTATTTCAAGGGGAACTGATTAAACACACACAGATATATCGATTGTGTGGATAAGTCAACGTTGCACATTCTTCACAGGTTCGATAGTATCGAATTTGCCAAACAGTTTGCCCAGTGTTTGTCGTTCAATAGCAGTAGAAGCGTTTAACTTCATACAAAAAGACTGCTTTATACCAGGGGTCGGCAACCTGTGGCACGACAAGCTATTTCCAATGGCACGCAGCCGCAAATGATATTACGAAGTCCGAATCAATAAGTACAACTCAAAGAAGATATTTAGCTGTCTCAATTTTAATATATACTAAAGAATATATATTATATATTACTATATAAAAATATAAAATATATTGTAGAACAGGTACATTGAACTTGACTGAATGTGACCATTTGGTTTAAAGTGCGTATTTTTTTATTATTTTTAGACTTTTCTCTGAAATGAACAAAGGATCTCAGCGTCAGATTGTTTCATTTGGTGAGGAAATAACACAGATAAA